GGTGGGTGGGGGGGTGTGTGTGTGTGAAGAAAAAGAAAAAAAAGAGTTCATGGCTTTCACTTTTAAGAGGCACATCAGATCATGGCTTAATATGTATATTTTCAGAGCAATATAAGGTTGTAATTGGCATGAATGAGTTTTGGGTTACTAAGAAATATTTTGTTTGTTTTTTTAAATCAGAAAGAGTTCACAGACCCAAACTAAAGACGACTCTGTTTTCAGAACTTTCTCTGATGTAAGCATGCAGTAATCCAGTTATTTATTAATAGCTTTTGTGGATTACTCCCACTCACTACCTTGAAACGTTCACCCAGATTCTGTCAGCCTGAGTCAGTACATAAGCAATGCTCAATACATGTAAATGCAGTGCCAGGATTTCAAGGACAAAAGGGAAAATTCAACACTGCTAATTCTCAGACCCGCATATCACTGAGTTACGCTTCAAAGGCATCTTTATAAGAGAACTCCTAGAGAATCCTCATTCCTCTGTGCTTCGAAGTAGCGCTTGGTGTAGCTGATAGACACGACAGAGTGCAGATTTTGCCCTATAATCAGTTATTTATATGAGCAACTGTACATACATGCACATCCATATTTAACTCAGGAAGCCCGCTCATTTACTCAAAGGAGATTATACCTGAAAATGAAAGACTGAAAAGTCTCTAAAGGATCAAGGATAGAAGGCACATATTATTTACTAGGGAGCTGAGGATACTATCCTGGAAGCAAGGTGGGGTGGATCGTGGGTTTACAAAAAACACAAATCCATCCTTTCAGGGTTCTGAACATATTTTACACAGGTTTATTAGACTTTGAATTTCGCTGAAAGCCAGGGGAGTATACCTCTATTCAGAGCGGACAGGATGGGTCAGATAGAAGTCAATTACAACCCATCTTCTCAAAATCGGCTTTGGAAAGTATCTTTTGGATACTTCTATTTAGCAACAAGAGTTCTATTTTCAGAATAATCAACTATACTCTCAAATGACTTTAGGACGATACAGGTGCTCCACAGCACAGGAAACATTCGATTTTGTATATCAAAACTTTCAACTGAAAGAACAAAAAGTATACCGATGACAAGCCATGTACTGAGATCTTCAGCAAATTCAGTAATATAGCATGGCATCTCTGCTCTTATTTATATGAAAGAAAACTTTGAATAAGTTATGTTTTCCATAATAGCAGAAACACAGAAGTTTCAAGTGCTAATCTCTAAGGCCAATGCTAAAGTATAACTGTTGTGCGGGCTGGTGACAAAAAATAGCTCCTTTAAAACAGGTAAAAAAAAAAAATAAAATTCCTTCTTTATTTCTATTTAATTCCCTTTGAAAAAATTAAGGCCATATACTCAATCCAAAGTATGGGAACAGATGCCTTAAATCTGTACAACCCAACAACTCTTCCAGAATAACGTAATATGGATTTAACCTTTCCTTTTCAAAAATTAACTAATAAACAAATATACATCAATAAATTCAACTGTTCTAGCAATATTTCCAGAAATAGTTTGGTTATCCATAATTTTAGAGTCCAAAGCAAAAATAGCTGGATGTTAAGTTCTGACCTCACTGTCCCTGAACTCTGAACTGAGATGAAACAGAATCATAGAATCATTGAGGTTGGAAAAGACCTCTAAGATCA